AGGATAGTCACAGTACCAACATGATGTATAGGTAAAAGTTCTACAGGGCAGCTCCATGAGCTGCTTTGGTTTCAAAAATGAGAAGAAAGCTAGAACGTGCTTCCTGAAATGAAGAAGGGTGGATGCTTTTCGGCGTGGGAATTCGGGAAATGTGAATGGGAATTCGGGAAACACACTGCAAACAAGCAGGAGAGACCCTTGAGGAAGCGCAGTCGCTGCCGGCCACAATCGCGCCGATGGCAAGCTGCGGCGCCAGAGCCCACAGCATAAGTGAAAGGCACCGAGCCCCAGCCTTGTGTAATGTACTACGTATGCGTAGATGTCTTCAATGCAAAATCTGCCGAAGTGTTTCACGATTATATAAGTATGCGTGAGCAAATGTTGACTGTCGTTTTCTGCTTATGCCTTCCGTAAGGGGTCAGTAGGATAACCAAAGAGAGTCATAGCGCCATGACTCTCTTTTCCCCTTTTTAAGGTGCATGAGAGGAGTCAATCTTAGAGTTTCGGGTGAGATGACCAAACGGCGTCCCTCGACGACCTGTTAAATAGTACAAAACATAAAAATCTAGGGCGTCGCCTACATCCTAATGCCACCGCCACTGTATCTCAGTTCAAGCAAAAATATCACATATATAAAGAAAATGATTATCTCACATGGAGCGTCTTGGTTCCTCAGTGTACGCTACTTGTAGTACCTCCACATCACAGACTGCTCTGCTCACATCGATGCTATGGGCCCTGGCACAACGAGCATCTAAATTCCCAGTAAGCATGATAAGGGAGCAGGCAGCCATGCCTAAAAGAATAACGAACACGGTCTCACAGCTTGATGCAGCTACCACGCTCAAGATGTCTATGTACTCGTCATGCACTCTTTTGCTCACATATTTACTACAGATTGTTGTACTTGCTTTGTATTTCTCTTCTTAGGCATTGACAGTGAGGGTAATATTTCACAGCTGCTTCTTGATCAGGCGTTAGTCTTATCACTGACGACTTATATATATGAGAAGGAAATATATGGCTGATCATTTTTTTGTAAAAATTGGTATAATGCATGAACGTAAAACTTGTTTTCACAGATATATTTCGGTGTTTTGTGCAGATTAAATATTGTTTATTGCTTTTTATTACTTCGCCACCCTTAACTTTTATGCACTCACGTTGACATCTGGTGACACACCTTAATCCCATCCACCAATGACTAGCGATTGGATACACTTTCCAGTAACACTATACATTGAATGCACTGGAGCAGAGCTCGATTCACATTGCAGCACACGCGTTCACAAGCCGCGGCAGCGAAACCTATTTGGTTTTCACTGAATCGTTTTGAATTCACGTTCTGCTGCTGTGAACGGTGTGTGATTAGTGGATCGACCCCCGTTCTATGGAAAAGCTAGGCATGCGGCATTATGTTGGCGAGCAGCGTCTTGCTGATAGGTCACCTAGGCGAAGATACCATCATTTCGTGATTGAATTGGTGGGGATGATGGACTAACATTAGAAAAGTGGAGCATTCTTGTTGACAATTTAAGAGCGAACGTGCCGTCGATTGCTTGAAGCTTATGTCACATATACTTAACTGACATCGACACGCACATTATAATCACAAAAAAACGCAGCAACCTGTAAGTAGACGTTGGGTGTTAGGTTTCCAACATATTTTATTTATTCCTGCTCTGGCATGGACGTCCAAAGGCGCTGTCATTGTTGCTGGCGTCTTCTTCTCTCGTGCTGGTTCGAACACGTGGAGCAGCTGCGGCAGAACTTCTTCGTGTTTGAGACGCTGCCGGCTTCTTATAACCCCCCCCCCCCTTGGCGAGGTAGCCCGTGCGCGAAGGAGCAAACCCGATGAGAAGGTTGTAGGTTCTTTTATCGCGAAGCGCGTTCGTCTGGTTTTCGTAGATGGCTTGTAGTTTTGAAGGACGGCGTCAGTGTCAAAGAAAGCCGGTTTTATGCGGTCAAGGGAGACACTGTCTTTGCTTCCGTTAAGCCACAGAACGAAATGCTTCGGGCAACGCTTGATGACCTTAAAGGGTCCGTCGTAAGGAGGTTGCAGTGGTGGTCTGATTGCGTCATGTCGTACGAAGACGTGGGTGCAGTCGCGGAGTGCACGACTGACGAGACTTGGGCTTCAGTGTTGACGTGCAGGAATAGGGGACACATCTCTCGTGGCATTTCTGAGGCGACTGGCATAATCAGCTACGTCCAATGGTGATACTGATGACGTGTCGAAAAACTGTCCAAGGAGCCTTAGGGTATTGCCAAATATGAGCTCAGCTGAGGAGCAGGACGCGTCCATACGTATCGTGCTGCGCAGGACGAAGAAAACGAGTGGTGGTCGCTTCTTCCGGGGTATCAACAATTGCAAGGCCATGAGTTGGTGGTAAAATCACACAGCCATGCCATTCGACACCGGGCGGGGTAGGCCGCCGTCCTGATGTGGTTGACACCAAGTATTCAGGACAAGTTGCGGAAGAGCGCGGAGTGAAATTGACGACCACAATCCATTGTGATGGTCTTGGGAACTACGTAGCGGCTTATCCACACCGTGATTAGTCCGCGGGCGTCTGATTCTGCTGTACTTTTGGTTTGCGGTAGTGCCTCAGGCCACTACGTGAGCTGGTTTACGCAAGTTAGCATATACCGGCTGTTTTGCGATTGGGGCAAACAGCCGACGAAGTCTAGGTGCACGTGACTGAACCACGAGTCAGGAGGCGTGAAGGTACACAGTGGGCGGACCGTGTTGCGCTGGACTTTCGTTAGCTCGCACTTGATGCAATGCCGTCTCCAGCGGCGGACGTCGATGTTAATTCGAGGCCAAAGCTATCGCCCTGCGATGAGGCGCTGAGTCGCCCGTATACCGGGGTGCGACAAGGAATGCAAGGCGTCGAATACTCTGGAGCGAAATAGTGCTGTAATATAGGGGCGAGGACAATTGGTAGAGGTGTCGCAAGCAAGGAGAATCGCGCAGCCTGGAAGTTGGACATCTTCAAGCCTGAAGAATTTCTCTAGGAGTCGCAACACCTGAAGCTCGTTTTCGTCCTGTTGTGCAGTAGACATGGCTGAAAATCGACTGGTGGGTGCTCATGCATAGTTGCGTTGATTTCTATTCGGAAAAGCGCGTCAGCAACGGGATTTTCTTTGGCACTGATGTACCGGATATCACTCGTGAACTCAGATATGTGGGTAAGCAGGTAGACCTCACGCGTGGTGCGGGAACAGTTGGCAGTGCTCAAATGACACTTAAGCGGCTTGTGAGCGGTGAGAATATAGAACTGCCGATCTTCTAGGAAGTGTCGAAAGTGTTTGACAGCCGATTAGGCCGCGAGCAGTTCACGACCGAATGTGCTATAACGAAGCTCGGTCGGTGAAAGCTTCCGTAAGAAGAAAGCAACCAGCTACCATGCCCCGTCGACCAACTGCTGCAAGACTGCTCCTATGGCGACGTCCGAGGCGTCCACTGTGAGTGACGTGATGGCGACTTCCTTTGGATGCGCGAGGAGCGTTGCGATAGGCAGAGCTTCCTTGATGAAACTGAAAGTTGTCTCTGCATCGCGCGTCGAGGAGTTTCAATCGTTGGACGTCGTTTGACCAGATAGAAGTGCGTGCAGTGGTTGCAAGATGACAGCGCATTGAGGAATAAACCGCAGGTAATAGTTGGCAATCCCAAGGAATTCACGTAGTTTCTTCATATTTGTTGGTTGTGGAAACTGCAATATAGCTTCAACACGCGTGGCCGGTGGAGAGATCGCACGCGAATTCACGTGATGAAGAAAGTCCAGTGAGGAAACGCTGAACTTGCTCTTTGGTGCGTTGACGACTAGTTCATATTTGCAGTCATGGGAAAACTTGGCGCAGGTGAAGTTCGTGATCTTCTGCAGTGGTGCTGAAGACAAGGATGTCGTCGATGTGCGTGAGGCAGAAGGTCAAACCACGAAGTACCGTGTCCACGAACTGTTGAAAGGTTTGTGCGAGGTTTCGTAGACCGAAGGGCACACGCGTGTATTCCAACATGCCAAAAGATGTTATTATGGCAGTCTTTGGTACGTCGGAAGGCACGACAGGTAGTTGGTGGTATGCCTTCACTAAGTCGATTTTGCTGGATATGGTGCGACCGTGCAGCAATGCCGTAAAGTCCTGCATGTGCGGTTATCGCATAGCGGACCGGTACCGTCACTTTGTTGAAGGCGCGGTAGCCACTGCGTCCTCTGCAGTCACTTCAGTGCTTGGGAACCATGTGTAGTGGTGACGGCCAGGCATCCGGAAGAGGGGCAGACGTATTATAGTTCAAGCATGTGCTTGAATTCTCGGCCTGCATTCTTGTAGCGGTCAGGAGCGAGACGACGAGCACGTGCAAACACTGTCGCTCCTACTGTCACTATGTGATGAGTGACACTCTTGCGTATCGGGCCTTCAAGAGATGGAGCACGAAATAGGTCGCAGAATTCTCGCAGAAGCGTAGACCATGGCGGGAAGACTTTGGCATGACCTTGCACGAGACGCAAGGGAGGCAAATTTGATTTCACTCCTTGAACTGTGAGAAGGGTCTCAGAATCCACGAGACGGCGATGTCGTAGGTCTACCACAAGCTTAAAATGCCAAAAGAAATGCACACCGATGATGGGTACACGCACGTCGGTGATTAAGAAGATCCACTGAAACGTACCTCTCAGGCTGATGTCAAGCGTGACAGATCTCTGTCCGTAGGTCAGTATGCCGAACCACTGACCGCGGTGACAGTCGGCAAGGTCTGGCGTCGCCAGCGGTCCTCCAATGTAGAAGGAACACATCGGCACATATGTCATTGGGGTAGTGGTCATTGGTGACGCGGTCCGTGACGTGGAATAGGCGGCTGTAAGTGGGGCCTGAAACACTGGCCGCCGTCAGTGCGTGGCCTGTGTGTTTCCCGCAAACTGGCATGACTGTTTGCACTGACGAGCTTAAGCTCTGTATCCGTGGTGGTATCAGCAGACGCTTAAAGGCAGAATTGGCAATCATTCGCGGATTTGGCGCCGTTCTCTTGACGCATTGCAGCGTTGGTATCCCTTGAGCGCGCTCAGTTCAGTGCCCAAATGATCCACCTTGCGGTTGAACCTCTCGTTAGCTTGAAGAAGGCGGGCCAAGCAGTCGTCGAGGACCGGTGCAGAGAGAGTAGATTTGCGTGGTCTTTCAATCGCAGATATAGACGGCACACCGATATTCATAATCTTGTCGGCCATCCGCACTAGTGAGTCGAGGGTTTCTGTAGACGATACGCTCATAATCTCCCGCACCGGCTGTGGCATTCGCTGTAAGAAGAGTTCGCGTAGGATAGATGCGTCCAATGCAGCAGGGTGGTCCCCGATCAGGTGTCGCATGCGACGCAGAAGCTCCGTAGGCGTTAGGTCACCGAGTTCTTCAGAAGGGAGTAGCTGCTGAAGCCTACGCTGTTCCGACTCAGTTGGCCGACGTATGAGCTCGTCTTTAAGGATGTCGTAGGGGTTGTCAGGAGGTGGAGAATGCAGAATGTATCTTACGATGGCGAGGACAGCATATAGTAAAACGCTGATAACGTTATCGCACCTCGCTGTTTGCGACATTATCAGGTGTCGTCGAATGAGTGGCTCGACACTCATAAACCATAGTTTAGAGTCCACCTGCTGACACTCCCGGAGCCTGAGCGTAGCGATGACAGGGACAGGTACCGTGAAATTGGGCGTGGCGTCACTGTTCGGTGTTGTTCGGTGTGGTGTCCATGGTCCGCTGAAATGAACCGGGCTGAAGAAGCAGAGTTGGCCGTGAAGCTCGGTGTGTTTACGAAAGGACGAGTAGGTGCGCGTTGCCACTCGAAGTCTAGGTCACTACATGTAGGGAGACGTACGGCTTTTGGTTTTCTACATACTTTATTTATCCCTGCTCTGGCATGGACGTCCAAAGACGCTGTTGTTGTTGCTGGCGTCTTCTTCTCTCGTGCTGGTTCTAACACGCGGAGCAGCTGCGCCACAACTTCTTCGTCTTTTTCGAAAGGCTGACGGCTTGCCATATACCTTTCGTGATACAGATAACCATATATATACCAACTAGTATTTATATTCACGGTGTGCCCCGCCCCAGGTGCGGGTGGTACATTACCTCTATTGTACGAGGTTGAAGAAAGAAAATCACATATACACGGCATCAATAGACATGGCGTGAATGATGATGAGTGGGGTGAAATTTCGAAGGGTTTTGTCCGCAAACAGTGCATTATCCGCATGCGTTTGTATGTCGGTATGTCTGTGTATTCATCCGTCTCTCCATCTGTATGTATGTATGTATGTATGTATGTATGTATGTATGTATGTATGTATGTATGTATGTATGTATGTATGTAGGTATGTATGCATGTATGTATGTATGTATGTCCATACGTCCTTCTGTCCATCCATCTGTCTGTCTGTCGCTGTCTTTTCTCTATCCGTCCAGCTATCTGTCCGTCTGTCCGCACCCATCTGCATGTGTGTCTGCCCATTCATCCGTCCATCTAGTAAACACTTCAAATACTGTCATCTCGCATATTTTCACCATACATTCATCATATACAACTACCACCATTCAGCGGACATTCCAAGGACTAAAACGACAGGTAGCTACTACATACAGAAAACACATGACCCACGCCTTAAGGAGCTTCACCCCTAAATACACCTAGCATGTGTAAGTATCTGGTGATCATTAGGCACTTTGTAAGCACGTTGACCTTTTATCAGAAAAATCATGATACTTAATGTCGTTTTCATTACTAAGTTGCAATCATCAGCTGGCATTCTGTCATATCGGCTCCGTGCAGTAAAGCCACTTATGCCAAGCCCGGCGTTTATTCACTTATAACATCTTCAATATAATTCTTGAGCTTATACGTAGGAAGATTTACTTTTTTGCCCGTGCGTGATATGAGTCTGTTAAAATTGATATCAGTAAATGTGTAAACTTTTCTAATTGTACGCTCATTAAATATATTAGCAATGTTAAAAGTGATTGAATGCATCTGTAGTGGTCAAGAAAAGAAACGGCCTTTTAAGAACAGTGCCTTGCAGTGTATCTCCGCAGTACTATGGGCACGTATTCCTGGGACACTTCCGTAGCTAAGGACATATTATGTATAATGGCGTATTTGGTTGGCCACTCTACTGCTCTGGCTGTGAGTAGCCAAATGCACAGGCAACTCGCAATCAGAGCGCGAGAGGCAGCGTGCCAACCGATTGCATCGGTGGTTTCAAAGCGTTTAGTGCAGCGTTCCTGTAGGACCACCGTGTAGCTAGCGCGGGAAGCTCCTGGGTAAACGTTTGTGCGCCTGGTCAATAAATCGTGCCGATCAGTTAGTTCAGTGTATATCTCTGGCATCTCTGATCTTTCATATATTCTCTCTCTCACTCTTTCTTTCTCTTTCTGACTTTCCTCATTGTAGTGAAAACCTTCTGAGCTCAGCATCTAAATCTGGCGATCATCCTCATCCGCGCTGCAAATCACAAGGCTTTCTGCGAGCTGCTATAACGACAAGGGTAATTGACTGATAGAAAAACCAATCTTTGAGATGGCTGCCTAAAGTTGTACTTACCAGCGTGCATTAGCTATGATGCTGCACGATGAGGCAATGTAACAGCAATAAAGGTTTTCGCTTTTTACGTTAAGCGCACCTTACCTCAGTAATTTCGGCAAATAAGAATTGAGAGGACCCTTAAGCTACACTTTTAAGAATTGAACGAGACACCATAATCCGGCGCCGGGTACGCCCTTCAGCCGGAAAATGTATACTTAGTAATAAGTTTTCTTACACACGCTCACAAACACACACGCGCGCAGGCACGAAGTTTCTATAGGAATGCAGTGACTGTGCAGTGTGGCCACTTACCTTTGCTGGAGCGGCGCGCTGCTGAAGTCGAGACACGTTTTTCACAATGTCTCGCAAATGACCCAAGGACACACACGCACGCACACGTGCGTGCACGAATGGTACGTGAAGGTTTTAGATCTAAAGCAGGAGTAGCATAGCCTCAAATATATACCCGGTGCGCTCGTCATTTTGGAGGCTATAAAAAGTCTCACAATGCCTCAGATGGCAGCAGTTTAGCGTTTGCTGTTTCCTTGATCAACGCCTCAGGAGAGGCATGATATGTTTTTCGCATTATAAACAAAGTAGTTCACTTTTAGAGCTGTTTGTAAGTTCCTGTGTGTTTTTAGCGGTGATGGCTGCACTCTCCCGTCCTTTTTAGACGTAGTTTGATGGGCTCCCTAATGCGCCTACAAAACGACGAATGGCTCGTTTTCGTCGTGACACCTGTCGAACAAAATGAGTTAAGCAGACTCGTTCCGCCACGTGACATTTACGTAGCGTTATTTTCTTAAGCAGATGCAAGCAACATCGTGGCTTTGAGGTAGGATACTATTTGCCTCGCGAACAGCCCGCGTTCGATTCTCAATGGGAGCAAAAATTTTGTTTTTTTGTTTTGTTTTCTTCTTCCTAAATTGTTCGCACACTGATGATCTTTCGCTCACAAACGACGGTGCCGACACCGACGGCGAAGTTTCTGTGACTCGCTCTCTGTAACGCTATCGCGTTAAAGCACCACAATTATTGCGAGAAAAACGTCACACTACAGAATATAAGGACTTAGGAAGAATACGCAAGCAAAAATTGGCATATCACAACTACAGTGAGAATGAATGATATGCGAAGCAGGAATGAGGAAGGTTTATAGGTCACTATAATTAACGCAACGTTAAGAGACGGAAGTAAAATATCCCGTACATAACTTCTTTGTCATGATTATCGTGTTTGGGCGTGTCATATGCCTTGGTCACCCGTTCGCGTCACGCGCTACTCAATTTGGCATATGTGAGGCTAGCGAAACGGCTGCGAGCGCATCCTGAGCGTGGTAAGCTGTCATGTTCTTACATCACACGCATGTAATTATTATCATGCTTGCACCTGTAATATACCTTTTTTATCTATTGACGTCACGTAATTCCAAAGTTCGTATATGTGAAGCAAGTGAAACGACCGCGAGCGCACTATGAGCGCCGCATGTGGTGATGTTGTTACATGACACGCGCATCATGATTATCATGTTTGCACGAGTCATTTACCTTTCTCACCCTTTACCGTCACGTAATACCAAATTTCGAATATGTGAAGCTAGCGAAACGGTCATGACCGCATCATTAGCATGGCATGTAGTCAAGTTGTTACATGACACGCATCTCATGATTTTCATGTTTGCACCAGTCACATGCCTTCCTCATTCATTCATGTCAAGTAATACCAAAGTTGGAATATGTGAAGCCGGCGAAACGACAGTGAGCGCACCATGAGTGTGGTGCAAAGTCAGGACTGATGGCTTACATGATTGTTTTGAAATGAAAGCGTACTACTTGAAGTGCTTGGCCCTGTCTTTCTGTCCGCGTCCAAGTAGTGCGCTCTCATTTCAAAACAGTCATGTATCACTAACTCGCCCAATCAACCATATTGACTTATATCCGATGCATGTCATAATTTCCACGTTAGAGCGGTCACTTGTGTTCGCCGTGCAGTCATGTCACACCATACCAGTTTTTCAGCATGCCATGACAATGAGACCACCACAAGAGCAGCAACCCCTTGAGTTGTAAATCATGACATTCAAGGCATACATGTCATAATAATCATGTTACGACTAGTCAATTATGCTCGTTATTCACTTATGTTATGCCGTACCAAATTTGGTATTGATACCATCAACGAAGCACAGCTAAAGTCGTAGGCGACTAGATTGATGGATGGATGGATGGATGGATGGATGGATGGATGGATGGATGGATGGATGGATGGATGGATGGATGGATGGATGGATGGATGGATGGATGGATTGATGGATGGATGGTTGGTTGGACGGATGGATGCATGGATGGATGGATGGATGTATAGCACTCTGAAACGCGGTTCCGAAAACACAGCACGGTTTATTAATGCATCTCCGCCATTGTTCACACTCCTTCCTCTTTTTCCAGCAAACTACCCACTACTAGCTTATGTCCCAAGTGTGTCGTGCCAGAAGAAGAAGAAAAGTATGCCACAGATAGCCCCCCCCCCCTGCATACAAGTGGCCGTGGGCACTCGAAGAAAAAAATGATCAGACGGAGCTTGTCAGAATGGGTGCTGGCTTGATCCTTGAAATGCTGACTGTGTCTTCATGCCCATTACGCAGGATTGTAAAATGATGTTCAGAACGCTTGATGACTGGGAAAGGACCGTCATAGCGAGGCAGAAGAGCACGGCGAGACACATCGACACGAACAAAAACGTGTGGAGATGTCTGTAGGTCTGCCGGCAGAAAAACATCGTTCTTAGTGAGCTGAAGTTGGTGATGGGCGCATGATTTGCATGAAGATCCGCAGACGCTGGACAAAAGAATTGGATCCAAAACACTCTGCGTATTAAAGGGGCTGACGAGGCCACCAGGCAAACGAAGTGTGCAGCCATAGACCATCTCGGCTACACAGCAGGCAAGTTCTGGCCGAAGTGTTGAACGCAGGCCAAGAAGCACGATGGGAAGGTGTGATACCCAATCTTCGGCGTGAAGCT